TTTGTGTTATCGAATAGAATTTTTTTAAAGTTTCTTGTAAATTATGAATTAATAAATTTTTAAATCGCAATCTGCTTCGAAAGGGGACATGTAAGACGTCTACTTAAGGAGGTAGTGGTGTGTCCGATATAGGTCATTGCATTGATACACTGTAATAGTTACCGGTAGTGACGACGAGGTTTGCGGTCTTCCATTTTCTATAATATATTATGAACTTTATATGTTTTCCAGGGGTTACAGTAGAAATATGGTGTTTAATGATTTTCCCTATAGCAAATACATCCCTGCTTATAATTATTTGGCATATGGTTACAATGTTGATGTTTTGTGTTTTTGTTACTGGCGCGTGTATTTTTTCTAAGAATAATTTTCTTTGATTGTCAATGATGTTGGGAAAATTATTGTTCACTAGTGTTTGTTTTATGTGTTTTAGTTCGCTTAGAAATATTCTTTGGGAAGAGAAATTTTGGCATGCCCCATTTACGAAGTTTGTTATCACTACTATTTTATATCATTCCGGACATTGGCTATCATAGTTTAGAAAACAAGAGTTCGTACTGGTGGAGTTTTTATACAGGTAAGTTTTATACAGGTAAGTGGTGTATTCGTTGGATTTTAGCTCAATCTCGACGTCGAGAAATAGGATCTTGTTATGTACTATGAGTTCCTATATGAATGATAGTGTTGAGTTTTTTCAAACGTTGATTTTAGTTTTGAGATTTCATCCTTATTTTTCATCAAAACAAAAATATCATCCACATTCCTTGTGTAGATTCCAGGTTTATAGGTTGTTTTAAATACTTTGTTTTTAATGTAAGATGTAAAAGTCAGCGATTTCAAGATCTAGGGGTTTTCCCATAAGTTTCCATATATATATTTTGTCAATCTTTTGTATGGCTCTGAAACTTGGACACCTTATAGATGGCACATTAAGAGTTTAGATGTCTTCCATAAAGGCTGTCTCTGTACAATCTGTGGCCTAACGTTTGATGATTGAGTGTCAAATGCCGACCTTTTTGAAAAATGCAAGATTGGTATCATCTAGACCTTCATAATGCAATCACAACTACGCTGGGCTGAGCCGGGCTGGGCTGGTCATGGGTCAAGGATAGGTGATGATCGCATACCAAAAGTTCTTTTCTACAGTCAACTCCATAATGGTCATAGAAATGTTAGTAGACCTTGGCTCAGGTATAAATATAAACTAAAAAGCAACCTTTCTTGTGTCAATATTCCATTCAAGAACTTTGAAGAGGTAGCTATGAAGAGATCAGAGTATCGTTCTCGCTGCCATTCAGGAATAATACACCATCAAGAAGTAAGCATCATTCGACTGCGGGAAACTCGTGTTTCACGCAGTCGACTGATGCTTACTTCTGATGCAAAATAAGACAGCTAACAGTGTTCCTGCTGCTCTTGGATACAATAACTTTGTATTCTTTTGTGCAATTCTCGAGCCGGTCTCAAAAGTCATGCTCGTCATAGGCAAGCAGATAATTAGTTCGTGGTCGTCGGAACCTCATACGTCGAACTCGATACGAGAGTCCATCATATATATATATATATATATATATATATGTGTGTGTGTGTGTGAGAGAGAAAATATATAGAAAATAGGAAAGAACTCGTTAGGTAAACAATCCAAAGTTCTTTAGTATTTTTGTTTTAATTTTTAAAAAACTGTGCTCGATACAAAAGTAGAGCCTAAATATAATTATTTATTTAAAAATATGATTCCGTCGCTACATAAGAGTTCTCATGTTTCAAAACAAGAGCCGAAAATTTCAATATAATTATTTGAATTGAATTAATTTTAATAATGAATATGCTTATAAAAACGCGTAAATTTCAAGAATGAGTTATTCCAAAAAATTTGCTTGAAGATGGAACAGAGCTTGTTACTTTAATTCAATTTAACTCAAATAATTATATTGAAATTTTCGGCTCTTGTTTTGAAACATGAGAACTCTCATGTAGCGAAGAAATCATATATATATATATATATATATGAAACTGTGTATTTGGGAATTTGTATTATTATATAAGTGCATGATGCTAGATTCACTGTAGATGGCTGATAAGGCACTGTGATTAAACCTTTTTTTAGTTATTTTTTTTCATTCGTATAAATGATTTTCTTTTTATGGACAAAGAGTGTGTAAAAACAGTTCAAATGATCTGTAGATCCAACGGCTTCCGACTAATCTATTAGTCATTATCAAGGATTTAAAAAAAATCTGAATATGTATATTTTTGAAAAAATACCCACGGAAACCTACCAATCTCTGCAAAATACTCGTGGAATATAAAACCATAATACAAAAAAGGGTTAAATTAATAATAATAAAAAAATAGAAGCCAAGTCTCTATAATATTAAATATGAATATGCCCACTGCATGCTGACCGTGTTGGGAAAAAACATTCCCATCCCTATATATATATATATATATATATATATATATATATATATATATATATATATATATTTCTGTTGACCGATTAAATAGGTCAATGTCTGATCCTTACCTCACCCTCCCCAATATTAAGTATGAATAGAAAGAAATATAAAAATAAATCCTCCCTAAACTCGACCATGTCTCTCACACCACTCCTCGCTACCTTCACTGTTAAATTACATAAACTTAATACTACCCGTCAAAAGTGTAAGTTTTCATTTCATTTTTTGTTTCACCTTTTGAGAGTGATGTCTGAACATCCAGGGTACTTTAAAAGGTCTTTGGTGAAATAAACTATTACAATGAAGCCTTAAAGTGGTCTGTTTTTCTTTAAATTATTAGCTCTGAATTTACATTGAGCTCTCAGGATTTCATCCACCTTGGGACTACCCATACAGATTAACAAGTTTTTCGTTACTTAACTATATATATATATATATATATATATATATATATATATATATATATATATATATATATTGTAATACTCGCGTGGAAAAAACCTTGGATAGCACAACTTTTTAAGTATATCAAAACAAATTGGTACTCGAGGAAAAAATTGGAAATATATATATATATATATATATATATCGGTTGTCTTTCGAATCCGAAGATGACGTATTGTTTCTGCATCTCATCTGTGAACTCAGGGGTGGTTCCGCAATCCCAGGCTGGAAGCGCAGAGTCTGGAACAGTGGGGACACTGGAAGTCCGTTGTCGTAATCAATGCTGATGATACCCTGACAAGGTGAGCTTCTAGAAGGTGTCATCCTCGAAGGTGACAACAGCATTATGGATAGTGATTCGCCAACGCGTTCGATCTCTGGCGTGCTCCTCTAGTTCTTTGGGTTTGAGCTTGCACCCCTGGAGATTTGCTTTCACAGTGTCTTTGTACCTTTTCTTCGGGCGGCCTTGGTTTCTCTTGCCGTTCAGGAGCTCTCCGTACAGCACACCTCTTGGCAAGCGGTGCCCCGCCATGCGGATGACATGCCCCACCCATCGGAGTTGGGCCTTAAGGACCTTGGATTCAATGCTTGAGGAGTGAGAACGATCCAGGACCTCAAGGTTGGTAATGTTGTTCTTGACAGTGAATTCTGAGTATGGAACGGAGAGATCGCATCCTTATATGTACATAAGAAATCTACATATTCAATTAATCGCAGTGCCTTGTCAGTCGTCTTCAATGCAACATATATAAAATCATATAAGTAGAAACAGCTCTCATCAGTGAACAGAAAAGGTATAACCCAATGCCATTTGATACCCCAGGTGGCTCTCTTGAGTCACCATTAAAAAAAAAAAAACTATTGAGTTGTGGCATAAATACAAGTTTGGCTAGAGGCACATGTGTTCATTGTTCGGCTCCAAGTAAATAGTTTTCAAAAGTCTATGTGAACACTTGTGAGGTCACGTTTGCTCTGATCTGGTTTGGCTGGTCAAGAAAGTTGTTGAACAGCTTGTAGAGCATATAGAGTAGCGTGGGTAACCCGTGGGCAAGTATTGACACGTTAGGATTTCATATAACCTTTTTGTTTTAGGAAGGATTCGAGACATATACACTGCTGATATTTGGTATTCCCTGTCAAAAAATGCTCTTTGGTATTCCAAATACCAAAGGCGAACGAGAGTTGTACTTGCGACACTGTACACGATTGGTCCATATGTAGCAAATACCCTCTGGAAAATCACCCACTCGACATCTATACCGAACATGCAAACGACCATCATTTGTATGAAAATAGAAATTGATTTTGACAAGAAATGCCAAAGAGCATTGCAGAGAGCAGCTAAGCAACAGTTTGGTAAAATGGCGTCTGACATGAAAATGCATATAAAACTGAGGCGTTTCATTAAATTTTTCCAGGGAAAAAAAATTGAAATCATTGAAAAAAATCAACGCTTGCTCAAAGTTTACGGAGACCAAACAATATAATTGAGCATAGTCGAGATGTGGGAAATGCATTTCAGGAATGTCGAAAGCGATTTGTATGTGAAAATCCAATTTTCGGACGACTCTGCTAGTAGTTATGTAAAATGAGGAGAGCCTCGATCAGTTTATCTGTGCGAATTGGTGGATTACGACCTGGAAACTATCTACAGAGATGAATATCGGCTTCAGTCCATTGGAAACGATGTTGTCAATGTTGGATTATTGCAAAGTTTGTGCCAGGTGGATCCTACGGATATTCACGCAAGAATAGAATTATCATAAATGATAACATTAAGGAGGCTGGTGGAACGATATTGCGACGGGAGTGAGCCCTCACATACATCATTGAAAACAGGGCATAACTTTCTATTTTAACTATAGCTGGAGAATGAGCGCATTAAGACCAGGAACAGACGAGTCACACGCATCCTCACGCAAGAATAGAATCATCACAAATGACATCACTAAGTGGACTATCATCTTCAGCCTCGTAGTGCTGAACCACTCAGAGGCTGAAAGCGACAGTTCCCTGGATCATATCATCACACGTGATGAAACGTGATGTCATCACTACGAGGTGGAATTAAAACAACATTCCACGGAGTGACGTGCTAACGGTCATATCACGTTGAAACACCAGTTCTCGGAAGATCACCGAAGTTAAGCAACGTCGAGCCAGCTTAGTATCTTGATAGGTGACCGCTTGTGAATACCGTTTCTTCTAAGCTTGCGTGCACTGTTGGTGTAACACAAAACGGCTTGTAATTGGAAATCGGACAGTCGCGTTCCAATACAAGTTGAATTCTTTATGCTTATTTAAACGCCAGTATCCGTGGGAAAGGTATGGATCCACCTCTTCTCCCCCAGCTATGGGTTAATAAGTGGGATTTGTACCAGTAATTTATTATTATCTCCCTACCAAAAAAAAAAAAAAAAAAGAAAGAAGCAAATTTTACAATCTAAAAATATTTTCTGGTCTGAAATAAACTGCTAAAGGTTGATAAGGCGTAAAACAAAACAAATCAATCAGTCAACTATGGAGTGGCAACGGGGCCAATTTTCCATTAAAAGGAAAAGTTCAAGACGCAGCTATCAGTGGGCAAAGTGATGTGCACTGTCTTTTGAGGGTAAGAAAAACCTGAGCTCCTTCGATTTGTCCTGAACACTGACAAACCATCAACTCTGATCTTTGTATCGCGACGCTGACTAAAGATGAAGAGTTGAATTTCCAGATTTCTGGAAAGGATATTTTTTTTTTTTACTGTAACGCCACCTCGCCTGCCCCCCAATTTTGGCGCCTATCGGACTTTCATCAGTTCGCGCCGATAATTATGTGGAGAACTTTTTCTTCTTCTGTTAACAACTTATTGATGGTATAAGAAAAAAAGTAGGCTGGCTCCGCTGATGCAGAATTTTATGAGTGTATCATTCGTCCTCTTATTTATCGCCGGCGAAAATGCATGGCCAGTGGTGGTCACGATGTGGGGAAAAATGTGACGTCTATCTAAAAAAAAAAAACGCATTTTTTTTCAAAGGCGTCCTTGTCCTCACTATACCTGTTGTAGCTTTATTTTCGGAGCTGACTCTGTGCACACACACACACACACACACACACACACACACACACACACACACACACACACACACATATATATATATATATATATATATACTAAGATGATACAGGTATAACAGATAAACTCACTTCAGTATTCAGTATCTATTACAAGTGACTTGCTAAAAAATCATAGATGGATAGATAAATTGCGTGCTGGCATGATTTGCATCTTGTGTTTCAACCATGACGGCGAACCCCACCCACTATATGCCCTTACTCTTTACTTCTGCTTCGCTGATAATAATATTTGTCAGTTTTGTATATAACGCTTTCTTCTTTTTTCAACCCTTTCATTTTCTTTCTTTCTTTCTTTCTTTCTTTCTTTCTTTCTTTCTTTCTTTCTTTCTATTTCTCATCTTACTCTTTCTCTTCGTTCTTTTTTACCCAGGTGATATTTTCTACCTTTTCCCTTTTTTCAACATCTTTTCCATTTTATATTTCTGTCTCTCGTCATCTTTCATATTCAATTTCCTTTTTTTCTTTTCTTCTCATGATACCTCGCTTATTACTAGCTTTAGTATTACTCTTATCTCTATCTCTTTCATTCTTTGCTTTTATTTTTGTTGTTGAGTACACTCTCACTTTGTGGTTCTTTCTTTCTTTCTTTCTTTCTTCCTTGTTAGTTCTTTTGTAATTTCTTTCTTTATTCTTTTTTCTGTTTTCTTTATTCATGCTTTCTTTCTCCCTGAATTCTTTCTTTCTTTCTTTCTTTCTTTCTTTCTTTCTTTTTAGTTCTTTTGCAATTTCTTTCTTTATTCTTTTTTTCTGTTTTTCTTTATTCATGCTTTCTTTCTCCCTGAATTCTTATTTTTCTTTCTTTCTTTCTTTCTTTCTTTCTTTCTTTCTCGTACTCTTTCTTTATTTTCATGCACTCTTTCTCCTTTCCATGCACGCTTTCAATTTTTCTTTTCATGCACGCTTTTTTTCTTCTCTTCTTTCTTTCTCTCTTCGTTTCTTTGTTTTTCTCTTCGTTTCTTTCTTTCTTTTCATGCAGTCTTTCTTTCTTTCTCCTTTTCACGCACTCTTTCTTCTTTTCATGCACTCTTTATTCCTTCCTCCCTTCCTTTCTTTCTTTTCATGCACTTCTTCTTTCTTTTTCTTCTTTCTTTCTTTTTTAATTCTTTCATTCTTTCTCCTTTTCACGCACTTCTTTTTTCTCCTTTTCATGCACTCTTTCTCTCTTTCTTCCTTTCTTTCTTTCTCTCTTTCTTTTTCTCTTTTCATGAAATCTTTTATTCTTGCATTCATTTATTCTTTCTTTCTTTCATCTATACTTTCTTTCTTTTCGTGCACTCATTCTTTCTCCTTTTCATACACTCTTTCTCTCTTTTTCTTTTCTTTCTCTTTTTCTTTTTCTCTTTTCATGAAATCTTTTATTCTTTCATTCATTTATTCTTTCTTTCTTTCTTTCATTTTGTGCACTCCTTTCTCCTTTTCATGCACGCTTTCTTTCTTTTTTTCTTTCTCTGTTTCTTTTTTCTTTTCGTGAAATCTTTCATTCATTCATTCATTCTTTCTTTCTTTCTTTCTTTTCATGCACTCTTTCTTTCTTTTTTCTTTCTCTGTTTCTTTTTTCTTTTCTTGAAATCTTCCAATCATGCATTCATTCTTTCTTTCTTTCTTTCTTTCTTTTCGTGCACCCCTTCTTCCTTCTTTTCATGCGCTCTTTCTTTCTACTTTCTTTCTTCACATATCTTCTCTTCTCTTTTCCCTATTATCTTTCTCTCTTTACTTATCTCTTCTCACTCTTTTTAAAAAAGTTTTATTATTTTTCTTTATATTCTTAAAAAAATTATATTTCATTCTAACCGCTCTTCTTTTCGAATCCCGAGCAATAGCAATAAAAGCCCATCCAACCCGTTTAACTTTTTGCCACGCCTATCTTTGCTAGTTAAACGGAAGCGGACAGACACGCATACCATATGCACACGTTCGCGCCATTTCCCCATCCGTCTTTTTACGATTTCATTTTTAAGTAACCGAAACTAGAAAGAAAGATATAAAAAAAGGAATAGAATTAGGTGGTGGGGCATATAAATATGGGAGATATCTTGTCAACTTTCACTTTTGGTTTCAATTTGCCCATTTCGCATTAGTTTTCAATCGGGAAAGTTTTCAATTGATTTCTAAACGAAAAGTAGATATTGGCAAATTGATTTGTTCACGTGTAAATAAACGTAAAAATGTATATAGTTACTTTTTTATGATTAGATGTAAATGCCTTCGTATAAAGCTATACTACTTAGTAAATCAATATTTTATGCATTTCAGTTGTATATATATATATATATATATATATATATATATATAGATAGATAGATAGATAGGAACAGATGAACAAGGAAAAAAGAAAGAAAGAAAGAAACAAAAAACTAATCTAGATAGATAGAAAGAAACAGAGCTAGATTATCTCTCTGTCGTAGTCTTCTTTTTATACTTCCATCTACGAGGATCGATCAAGATGTCCGGTGTGAAATTTTGATCTAAAATTTAATAATGTAATGTTTAATCCACGTGATTAATGTAAAAACGTTGGGTGAAGTGCATTGACAAGAAAGGTTATACAGAAAAAATAAATATGTTTTGTTTAAAAGTTATTGTTCTTTCATTTTTGTGCTGTAAAGTAAACTTGAGCCAACAAAGCTATATTTTGATAAAAGAATGCTAAGAATACCATGGACGGAACACGTGAGTAACTAGGAAGTGTTAATGGAAATAGAAACAAAAAGGTCAACTATACTTAGAATTAGAAAGACACATTTGAACTGAGGAAAGAAAGCTTGGAGAATTTGACACTCACTAGACATACTGATGGGAAGAGAGACAGAGGGAAACAGTGAGTAACCTATCTAATGAGCTTGTTTAAATAGATAGGGGCAAAACATGTGGGGCAAACATTTCGTAGAAGTACAAATGATAGGAAGTTGTGAAGCGCCATAATCATTCATGTCTTGAAGGAAGAGAGGAAAACAGGGTGTAACATACCTAATGAGCTTAGCGGATAGCAGAACACGATCTGGGTGATAGAATATGAAGAAAAACATTACTTAGAACTACAAAGGATAGGAAAATGTGGAGAACCATAATAATCCATTGTCTTGATGGGACAGAGGGAAAGAGTGAGTGATCTACCTAATGAGCTTGTTTAAATGGGTGGTAGAACAGGGTCTGGATGAGAGTGTATAGCGACAAACATTACTTAGAATTACAGAAGATAGGAAGTTGTGGAGAGCCATAATCATCCGTGTCTTGAAGGAACAGGAAGAAACAGTGAGTGATCTACCCAATGAACTTGTTTAAATAGGTGGCAGAACAGGGATTAGGAGGGATCGCAAAAAATCTAACTTTGCTCAGCGCTATAAAGGATAGGAAGTTGTGGAGAGTCCTGATCGCTCACCACATTTCTGTGAAGGTATATGCACCTTAAAGCAAAATTAGACAAATAAAGACTGATTGTGACAATGGAATCGAAAAATTATGTAAATATTTTACTTACATTTTCCTATGCCATTACATATATGAAATATGACAATTTAACAAAGAAATTGTGTAAAGGCTTAAAATGTGGCAACTCTTAAGAAATTGATCTGAAAATTTCACTGTATAATCCTTGTTCCATGTGACTAACGGAGAAACATTTGGTTCAGTGCATTATTGACAAAGACAATTTTAATGAAAGTTACATATTTCTAATTAAAATAATTGCTTTTACCATATCTCTTTGCCATCTCTATCTCACTCTATTCTTTATCTATCTATCTATCTATCTAGCGAGCTAGCTCATTCTGTTCCTATCTATCTATCTATCTATCTCGGTCTGTTCCTATCTATCTATCGATATTTTATGCATTTCAGTTGTATATATATATATATATATATATATATATATATATATATATAGAGAGAGAGAGAGAGAGAGAGAGAGAGAGAGAGAGAGAGAGAGAGAGAGAGAGAGAGAGAGAGAAAGAGAGCGAGAAAGAGAGAGCGAGAGTGAGAGAGATAGACAGGAACAGATGAACAAGGAAAAAAGGGACTTTATCAAGGGAAATGAAAAGTTGAAACGCGTCGGCTAAGATAAGTTTTCCTTTTTGTCGTT